TGCAATACAAAAACTGGATCACAACCTCCCATAGGTAAAAATTAATTTCCAAATATATTTTAAAAACAAAATAAAATCATAAGATGGATATTATGGTAGTTTTGAAAAGATTGAAAAATTAAGACCAGGAGTGCTGAATGGGAAGAAGTGGAATTTGCACTTAACTTAGTAAGTGGTGAAAGTCACTGTAGTTTGATCAGAAGGGTAAAATGAGTAGGTCAGGCTGACTTAGAGAAGAGAGATAAAGTCACTGCTGGCAAAAAGACCAACCAGAAGACTCTGTTGCAATGTTATGGCATGAAATGAAAATGTAAGCTATTCTCACTTAGGCAATGAAGGTGAGGGACCAACCGATTTCTGATTTCACTTTCACTTGTGAAATCTGTATTTCTCTGCATCTTCCTATTTTACTTAGAAGACAACTTCATTTATGATATATTCATTTCAAAAAGAAAGAAATTTTAGTGCTGCTGCAGTCACACTGGCAAGAGTGTTGCTGCCAAATAGGACACAGAAGGAGTGTCTTTGTGGAGATGGAGGAGATAAAAAGTGTTTCTTAAAAGTAAATGAACAATGAGGACTTTACATAAAGACTTGAAACTCAACCACATATAAATGAGAATTGATAAAGTGATAAGAATAAAGGGAAACGTAAATAAAAAGAGATATGAAGAAGATCCTAATAGTATGGTATCACAGGAGTAGCTATTGAATAATAAGGAAGAAAATAAGGAAAAAAAACTCCACATTTTAAACAGACAAATGCTAACAGTGTATTGCTCAGAAATCCTGATTGAAAGAGAAAGTAAAAGTATATACTTAGCTAGAAGAAAAAAAAAAGATCCCAGAGGGAAGAAACAGGTAGCAAGAAACAATGAGCAAAGAAACTAGTAAAATACATTAATAATTCAAAAAACTCCCGCCTGTACAATATGTGTAAATGTATGTATGTTTTTGAAAATGAAAAAGCTGAAATAAAAATGGATTTGTCAATTACTGGGATGCCTGTCAAGCCTATAGTAAGGTAAACAATACATCCCAATTAATTTGGAGAATTTTTATATACTTGATTCCATGATTTCAGTTTTAAACATTTCTAAGTTTTTCATTATTGACAAAAATATAACAAAATATCTCCTCCTCCCAAATCCACAGTCACCATCTATAGTGTCATGAAGAAGTACCTGCAAAAAGCTTGGGTCATACTTGCATCTTTGACATTTGGATCCGTAGTAAGGCTCCTGATGAGAACTGTAATCATCTGAAGAGGAATATGCTGCACAAGGCTTGCCAATGCTACAGAAGGTTCAAATGATGCATCTATTTTTTTTTAATTAAAAAGAAAAAGGGATATGGCAAGAAGGTTCAAGTGAAGTATTGAGAGAGAACAATTAACCAAAAAAAGTAATTGCAGCAAAGGTGTTAATCAGAAAACAGTTGTCAAGCTCCACCTCATGGGTACTCGTCACATAAAAGGAATGTTATATTACAGAAATTAGAGATTAAGAATTACAATGATTGCTCATTCTATAGACAGAACTACTGCAATATAAAAACTATTGCCATATTTGGCCCATGAGTTACTTTATTTTCTTGCACTTTTTAATATTGTCTTTGTCGAGCTAAAATATTCACTTAAAAAGCAGAAATGTAAGATTTAAATTCCCAGGTTAGATTCTCCAAAGTAACTTATAGCTTATTAATTACAGTAGTCTGTAAAGTGTTCTAAGTAAGATATTTAAAAATCTCTTGCCCTAACCGGTTTGGCTCAGTGGATAGAGCATCAGCCTGTGGACTCAAGGGTCCCGGGTTCGATTCCAGTCAGGGGCACGTGCCTTAGTTGCCGGCACATCCCCAGTAGGGGGTGTGCAGGAGGCAGCTGATCGATGTTTCTAACTCTCTATCCCTCTCCCTTCCTCTCTGTAAAAAAATCAATAAAATATATTTTTTTTAAAAAAGTCTCTTAAAGCCCTAGCCGGTTTGGCTCAGTGGGTAGAGCATTGGCCTGTGGACTGAAGGGTCCCGGGTTCGATTCCAGTCAAGGGCACATGCCCAGTTGTGGGCTCGATCCCCGTAGGGGGCGTGCAGGAGGCAGCTGATCAATGATTCTTTCTCATCATTGATGTTTCCATCTCTTCATCTCTCCCTGTCCCTTCCTCTTTGAAATCAATAAAAATATATTTTTAAAAAATCTCTTAAAGAAGTGGAAATTTGGGGAGAGGGGAATTTTACTTAAACCATATAAAAATTAAGCACATCCAAGGTGAACATCTTTATTGCTACAGTTGAAAAAGTTCTGGGGAAATATAACAACTCTAGCAACACAGGCAATACAAGAAAGATTACCATTTAAAAAAAAATAAACCAACTCAGATCCTGCAAATACTAAGTTGGTAATTTGTAAATTTATTTAATTCATCAGACTGCATGGAGCTTGTTAAAACTCTACTCTTCTGGTTCTCAAGATAAAGAAGGACACCTCCTTCACAAGTTCAATTCCCAACAATAGCCAGGGAGAATGGTTATACCACGTAGAGAGGAAGTGAACATGGTTTTGGATCTACTGTCCCACAACCTCCAGAGCTCGAAGCTCCAAGTTCAGGTAAAATGCACAGGTAAAATTCCTGGATGACAAAGCATTTTCTTGCTAAGTGTCACTTGACCCCTCCCTGCTTTCTAAGGATGCAGTTCATGGGCTATCCTCCAAGGGAAAAAACACCCATTAGGTCCTCATATTCTTTCCCTTCCCTGAATCTCTCTCAGGAACACTGTTGTAGACAGAAAATGTCAATACTCAAAAACTACAGTTAGCTAGGACAAGCCAGTAATAAAAGAAACTGCACAGACCATGAATTTTAAAAAATGGGAAAATTAAAAAACAGGAGAGCCAGGCTGGTGAGGCTCAGTGGTTGAACATTGACCTAAGAACCAGGAGGTCAAGGTCTGATTCCCAGTCAGGGCAGATAACCAGGTTTGCAGGCTCCATCCCCAGTAGGGGGCGTGCAGGAGGCAGCCAATCAAGGATTCTCTCATCATTGATGTTTCTCTCTACCCCTTTCCCTTCCTCTCTGAAATCATAAAAAAAAGGGGGGAAGGGAGGCTCATGATAACAAAATAATAGGGTTACAGTGCAATAATAATATGGTAAACATTACTAGGCTACCATTAGTCACTAATGAATAGAAGCTTTATTTAGTAGCTGTCATCCCCAAAGCATTTCATAACTAGAGCAGAGGCTGGGTAATTAAGCAACTTGTTTAGTGCCAATGGTCTTAGACCTCGAAGTGCTCAACGTTTAAAATAAAAAACACGGCCTGCTTTTTAAGGTAGAAACGACAGCCTGAAGAGGATTGTGGATGGGAATAAAATTTTGGATGAGGCACTAAGGTTTGTTCTCCATTAACAGTATTTCCAGGGCAGGGAAGCAAATATGGTGTGTGTATGAGGGAGGCAGACTGAATTTCCCAGAGAGATTTTTCTTGGGATACAATGACCCTTACCTGTGGAAGAGATGATTGCAAAAATTTCTTGCAGGGAAGGCAGCAGTGTGGAGGGCTCGGCCTTCCAGATGTTCTGCAGCAAGCTGCTCACCTTTGTCACCTGGGCGACATATTCCCGCAGCTCTTTCTCCTGGGTGGACTGGCACTGGAAGTGGCCGATGGTTCGAACCAGCTGCTGACAGAAGGTGATGGACAGCTTCCCCTTGGGGATGCACTGCACGAAGTCGCTCAGGAGGTCGCTCAGCCGGGCGCACAGCGGCGGCTCCGGCCTCTCGCACACCAGCCGCAGCACCTCCACCTGCAGCAGGCTGAAGAGGTCCAGCACCGAGGGGCAGCTCATGATGAGCCTCAGGCCGTTGTGGATGTAGTCCAGGATGGCGACATCCTTCCTGTCCAGCGAATGGTAGCCCTGCTGGAGGAGGCCCAACACGCGCGTCTTGTTGAAGAAGGACTCGAACTCGGGCCGGTGGTAGCGGGCGTAGGCCTCCAGCACCTGGTGCCCCACCTGCCGCTGAAAGGGGTCCTGGCCCTCCAGGATGAGCCGGGTGGTCAGGTCAAACATGGCCTGGCACTGCGCCTCGTCCTGCCAGTGCTCAGCCGATTCCACCACCTTCCGCACGATCACCCGCTTCACCGGCAGCGGGTAGGAAGAACTCACCAGGCCCTCCAGGATCTTGTCCATGGTCGCCACGCCGCGAGGCCGAGGGGCAGGGAGCGGGCGGAGACAGCCCCGAGGTGGGGCGGGAGGACCCCGGGGCGGAGGTGAACTTGGAGCGCGGCAGCAGCGGGATCGACCACCGCCACCGCCGCCTCAGCAGCCACATTTATCGGGCAGGGGGGCCCATGCAAGCGCGGGCGGGAGTTGGCAAGCGGGGGGCGCGGGAGAACCAGCACCGCCCGCGGCGGGCCTAGGGAGCCGGAGGCCCGCACGCCGCCGCCGCCGCCCCGGGACCGCGGTCCTTCTCAGCATCAGCTCGGAGGCGCCAGCGGAGGCCCCCCGGAAGCGGCGGGCGCTTAGGATGCGGGGTTGCGAGCCGGCAGGTGGAGAAAGCGCGCCTCCGCGACACGGGACAGGTGCAGACGTTCGGGCTCCAGCCGGTGCTGAGAGGAGACGGGCCCTGGGTTGAGGCTGGAGCCGCTGTCACCGATGGTGCCGCCTGATCAGCCGGGAAGAGAAGGCGAACACCCTTGACCCGGATTCAGAAGGTCCCCAAACAGGAAATGACGGAGTAAATATCTGGGGAAGGGCCCGCCCCTCCGCCCCTCCGCCCCTCCGCCCCTCCGCCCCTCCGCTCCGCCCCAATCCTTCCCTTCCCTCCTCGGCCCCGCCTGCGCCCCACTAGCCTCACCCTCCCGGCTGCGCCCGGCCCCGCCCCGCCCCGCCCCGCCCCTTCGCTCCTGCGCACGCGCGGCCGCCTCCTGTGGAGTCGCAGGGCGACGCTCGCGTCACTGGGGATGGAGTGTCGAGTCACAGGCGCCTTTCCGGAAGGAGGGCCCGAAGCGGCGGCGGCGGCGGCCTCGGCTCTAGGATTCCCACCTTCCGATCTCTGCAGGTTCTTTCCGGGTCAGGTTACACGCGGAAGCCCGAGAAATTGCTGTTTATGTAAAATTTTGTGAAGGACAAAATTTTGGAAACTCAAGCACTTGGGGAGAAAGAAGGAAAAAACAACAACACAACGCCTCAAAACTCAAATGGAGGAGAAATCGTTTATGGACTTGGCTCATCCATCAAGAAGTGAGCGAGAGTTCCTAAGAATACGAGTGCTTTTCTTCTCCTTCGTGGTTAATAAAGTAAAAACTACTTGCCCCTGCGGCAGAGATTTAGCGACAGTCAGTATCAGTGGAGTTTGTTTTATCAAGCCTCTAGCTACAGATACTTTTTTAGCGAGCTTTTGTGGCATATGGAAGACTTATAAGCTGTCTAAAAAGTGGGAGGAGAGTTCCTGGAAAATGACAGCTGAGAAAATGAAAGATGGGTTTATGTCGGGCATCCCCCAAAAATGTACACACCCACTTGGAATAATTATAAAGGCAGTGTTTATTAAAACACTTGTCATTTTCAAAATGGAGCTATCAGCTTGTAAAGTGTGTATACATTTTGGGGGGACACCCTCTATATACCTGCATCATAGTAAAGAGAACTTTGAAATAGAAAATTAGTTGAAAATTTCACATTATTTAACATCTGTATATGCTGACATTGAAGACAGTTTATAATAAGGAAGAATAATAAGGAAGAACAGACTCTTTCAAGTTAAAGTCCAAAGAAAGATTCACAGTAAGAACTCTGGCTTTAATCAGAGGCCTTTATGTTGGAAAAACATTGCCTAATTATAACCCTGTACAGAGTTGGCCTGTCATAGTTGTGAACTCAGACATTCATGGCCTGCAAAGTGGACACAGCGTTAAATAAATGGTTTGTTTTAAATGTCCAATAGAAAAATGAACAAAATTGTAAGTTGTTTACTTTGCTAAGTGCCGTTTTGAGTGGGTTTTGTTTTGTTTACAAAGTGGTTACACCAATATATTTAACACATCAAGTAGGATAATCTTAAAAAGAATAGTTTAAAGAGTTAGGAGCTGGGCAGAGGAAATGAGGCTAAATTTGTGGGAAGAGATTGAAGATAAAAGATGAAAAAATTGATGGATTTAAAAGGCAATCATGCAAGAGCACTGGAGTAGCTAAGGAACTTTTCCTTTTCAAATAGATGGAAGGTAACACGCAGTGAAAAGTTTGACTTTATTGGGAATGGTGCCACATTAAAAGACAAAAATAGCATGGTTGAGCCTTGACCTATGAAACAGGTTCGATTCTGGTCAGGGCACATGCTTCAGTTGCAGGCTTGATCCCCAGTAGGGGGAGGAGGTAGCTGATCAATAATTCTCATCATTGATGTTTCTGTCTCTCTCCCCCTCTCCCTTCATCTCTAAAATCAATAAAAATATATTTAAAAAAAAGAAGACCAAAATAATGTAGAAATTAAAGCATTAAGCCCTAGCCTGTTTGGCTCAGTGGGTAGAGCGTTGGCCTGCAGACCAACGGGTACCAGGTTCAATTCTAATCAAGGGCACATACCTTGGTTGCAGGCTCCTCCCTGACCTGAGCCCTGGTCGGGGCTCGTGCAGGAGGCAACAAATCGGTGTGTTTCTCTCACATCCATGTTTCTTTTTGTCTTTCCCTCTCTCTAAAAATAAAAAATAAATAAAAATAAATAAATTAAAGCATTAAGAGGAATGAGTATGTGGATTTGAAATGTAGCAGAAAAAATTTGGAGCCAATTGAGGATAAATGAGGATTGGTGAACAAGAGTAGTTGAAGTGATTACTCCAAAGCAGATAGGAAAAAAATATTGGTTAGTTAAAAACTTGATGAATTCTCTGAATCATCAACAACATTTCCCCATTTCTGTTAATATTATGTCTTCAGAAACTGAATGTTGTAAAATAAGATGTGTGAGAGATACAAAGTACAATTTTTTCTGTCTATATAATACAGATAACGTATCTCATACTATCAGGCTTCCAAAAGGACTGTGACTCAGTATTTTTGTTGAGGATATCACCCAAGGATATTTTTTTCCATTGATTTTTAGAGAAAATGAATGGGGTGGAGGGAAAGAAATATCAGTTGGTTGCCCCCCCCCTTCCACGCCCTCTGCCTCCCCACAGGCCAGGCGGTGACTCAGTATTTTTAAAGTACTTCTTGAGTGATAGATGTATAAACAAAATATTTAGTAGGTTTTTATGCCAAAGTATTCAAAACATGTTTCCTTCTTTTGCCATTAGTAAAAAATTTATATACTATGTTCTGTTATGATTATAAGATTTCAATTGGAAGTGGTCTACTTTAAATAATTTATTTGATAACATAACTAAAATTTATATAACAGTACCATATTCCTGTTCAACATTTTTTTACTCTTTTTAAATACATTTTTTATTGTTAATAGTATTACAGATATCTCCCATTTTCTCCCCTTCCCCCTCTTCTCCGAGCCCTTACTCCCCCCTCCCCAAGTCTTCACCACAGAAGTCTGTGGAAAGGTTTTACTATAGTATGCCTTGCTGCTAATGATTGGATTAGTAGGTGCTATCCTACAGGCTTTAAGATTTTGTGTAAGGATTTAGTCTAAGACCTCAATTGCTAATTAAATGGTTTTATAAACATACATCTGGGAATGGTAGTCAAGTGATGGGGATGAAAGAAAAAGCTCAGATAGGAAATTATTAGTCATTTAACACCCTCTATTTGCCTGAAACAATATATTATACTTTATCCTTAGTTCTCAAAACAGACTTTTAGAAATAGATGCTAATAGTTTCATTTTATAGTAAAGTAATGAAGCCATAAAAGTTTAAACAAGTATTAGGTGAAAATTGTGTGTGTTTGTGATTGCCAAAGAGAAAAAGCATTTCCAAAAGCAGGTTAGAGTTGGCCAACTAAAACAGTTCTATTATGAGATTAACTTTCCCCTATGGTATTTATGTCACCCTATAACAGTGATGGCGAACCTATGACACGCGTGTCAGAGGTGATACCCTAACTCATTTTTTTGGTTGATTTTTCATTGTTAAATGGCATTTAAATATATACAATAAATATCAAAAATATAAATCTTTGTGTTACTATGGTTGCAAATATCAAAAAATTTCTATATGTGACACGGCACCAGAGTTAAGTTAGGGTTTTTCAAAATGCTGACACGCCGAGCTCAAAAGGTTCGCCATCACTGCCCTATAACATCAAATTTATTGTGTAGATTAGAAAGAACTATTGTTTTGGGAAAGATGAGGTATTCCCCCATTGAGTGCTGGAATTTTCTGAGACTCGAATAGGAGACTGAGTGATTTTTATTTGTGTGGAATTACATCTGTGTGTTTCTAAAGTCCCATTCCAGTCATAGAAGTTTAGTTGGGGTTTCAGTAGAGCTAAAAACAAAGCCAGTGTTCAGAGTTTCCATTCCAAGTTGCAGCCAGGTCCAGTTCAGTATCCGGCTAATTATAGTCCATTAGTCCATTGTGTGTGTGTGTGGGGGGGGGGGGGCAGGGGGGGAGAGGGGAGAGCGTCTACATTGCAATCTGCTTTATTCAGTCTACTTAGTCAAATGTTAATCTCAGTCAGAAACATCCTTACAGACACACCAGGGAGTAATATTTAACCAAATATCTGGGCATCTTGTGGCCCAGTCAAGATGACATAAAATTAACTATCACAATCCACCCCTTATCAACTAGGCACCCATATACTTCTCAAAACCATATTTGATCTCCAAATAAAGACTATAAGATCATAATTCTACCTAACCTGCGTACAACCAGAAAAACTGACCCTTTCCCCAGAGAAGTAAATTCCTTGAAGGATGTTTACTCTTCTCCTTAATATCCTATAATTTAAATATTATGATTAAAATTAACAATACTTAAGTACATTATGTTAATGATAAGGGAATAAAAGAGGAAAGAAAAAATCCTAATATATAAAAATCCTGGGTCCGTCACCACTGGAGGTTTGACCAACCGGAAGGCAGTCCTGCAGTCAGTGCTGGGTTGCTGTGGCGACTCAGCACTGACTGCTGAGGGGGCTGCGAATCAGGCCCAGAGAGAGGCCTGAAGAGAGAAGCAGGGTCTGATCCATAGCCTCTGTGGCAGCTGTTGATCAGCACTTGCCTCTCTCTCTCCAGCAGCCACGCCTCTGTTTCTCTCCAGGCCTCCACCGGTGCTGCTGATCAGCCCCGCCTTTCTAATCAGACCCCGTTGATAGGCCCAGAGACGCTGACTGGCATAGAAACTGACCAATCAGAACCAAATCTGGGTGAAGTGTGAGGAACCAATGGCTGCCTAGGAGGCGGAGCTTTTGACGCTGACTGGTATAGAAACTGACCAATCAGAACCAAATCTGGGTCAACTGTGAGGAGCCAATGGCTGCCTAAGAGGTGGAACTTTTAACGCTGACTGGCATAGAAACCGACCAATCAGAACCAAATTGGCCAGCAGTGGAGAGCAGTTGGGGGCGAGATTAGGCCGGCAGGGGAGGGCAATTGGGGGTGAGATCAGGCTGGCAGGGGAGGGCAATTGGGGGCGATTGGGCTGGCAGGAGAGCAGTTAGGTGTTAATCAGGCCGGCAGGGGAGCGGTTAGGGGGCAATCAGGCAGGCAGGCAGGTGAGTGGTTAGGAGCCAGCAGTCCTGGATTGAGAGGAATGTCTGACTGCCGGTTTAGGCCCGATCCTCGGGGGATCGGGCCTAAACCGGCAGTCGGACATCCCCTGAGGGGTCCCAGATTGGAGAGGGTGCAGGCTGGGTGAATTTCGTGCACTGGGCCTCTAGTATATATATAAAATCAGGGGATGGAAATAGAAGTGACATCACTCACTAATACCTCTAGTGACCTATTAGCAACATTTTTGCTCCCTATTTTGTGCTCAGGTGTGCTGGCTGGGTGACTGATCTATATATTAAGCAAATATATTATACATAAAAGCATATTTATAATAAATTAAAGGGAAATACTTAAGATAATTAGGTTTCATTATTGTAACTGGTCATGTGGTAATAGATGGTGTTTATAACAACCCTTTTACACTATTCTGTATTCTCTTTGCCTTTAGTAAGCACTTAAACTGGTTGTGGTTCTTTGCCTGGTGGAGTGACCCAAACCTTCATTCCTGAAGAACTGGGCCATTAGTAGTCCTGTGTGGATTGGATTGTTGTAGATTTCCATTGACTTTAATCACAGG